TTACTATATTATTGTGTTACATTACTCCGTTATCACCGGAGGCATAAAAATCCACTGAACCACCTGCACATGTAGAGACAAAATAAAAAGTAATTCTCATGACTGGTAATGGTGTTATCAATAGACGAATATGTCTTTACCAGTCGGGTCGCCCGGCTAACGCCGAGCTTCTCTCGTTCTTATGACATACCTGTGATAATCGCCTAACTGGCAAACTCCTTCGTATCAAGTGGCACTATTTCGAACGCGGAACTTGACAGATAATTAAATGTCATGCAAATGGTAATAAAAATGTGCCGATGCTTATGCCTACGATTAGAATTCTCGATCTGTTGCTGACCCATTGAAGGTTCAATTGATGGGCAACCAAAGCTTCGAATGGGACTCACAAATGTTATCGAGTCATAATAACACCATTGTCGAATGTCTTTACCAATGAAGCTTTCTTCTTTGCGGATATATCATTAGATGAGAATCCAAGACTACTAGTGGTCGGATAACTTTTGTCAAGTGTGATATCGAAGCAAAGAGATGCCGCCATCTTTTACTGAGTTTTTGTGTGTTTGTTTGTTTGGGTGTGTGTTTGTGTTTGTGTGCGTGTTTGTGTGTATATGTGTGTTTGTGTGTATGTGTTAGTGTGTGTGTGTGCTTGTGTTTGTGTTTGTGTATGTGTCTTTGTGTGTGTGATTGGGTGTGTGTTTGTGGTTGTGTTTGTAATGTGTTTGTGTGTGTGTGTTTGTGTATGTGTTTGTGTGTGTGTGTTTGTGCGTATATGTGTTTGTGTATGTGATTGTGTGTGTGCGTTTGTGTGTATATGTGTTTGTGTGTGTTTGTGTGTTGGTTTGTGTGTGTGTGTGATTGTGTGTGTTTGTGTATGAGTGTTTGTGTGTTTGTGTGTGTGTGATTGTGTGTGTGCTTGTGTGTTTGCGTGTATATGTGTATCGACCGTTCAGTGGCAACAGTTTATTTGAGCCAAAAGCATGCTACATTATTTCCGAGCGCTTATATACGTTGATAAACGTTACAGATGTTGTAGGTGCATTCACAGATGGTCATCTAAGAACAGCACATGTGACGGGATAAGAACAAGAGGAATGTTACCGAATGAGTATATGATGATACAATAAGCGAACGATAAGAGATGGAGAAGTAGAGAAGTCGTGGTTGACCACGACACTCCGCCCGCGGGAAAGGCGCGAACGAGCTACCGAAGAATAGCACAATTAATCATACAACCAAACAATAGAGAGCATAGAATATCAAACATCTCTTCCAGTCGGCTTCGGGCGCACTGCATAGAGCATAAAACCACAAACCACCGCAACTCCACCGGCACTGCTAGCCATACCATTCCGCAGGAGAAACGAATGAGGTGGCGTGCAGCAGGAATCGGTGACGCTCAGAATAAAGGTCGACGAATGCAGCACTGCGGCAGAAATGAATATGTCGATCGAGGCGTGAAGGTTGAATGTCAGCAGAAGAATATCAGCCGAGGGAAGTGACGACGACGGGCGAGTGCAGTGGGTGGAATAGGGAGTAGAATAGGGAACGATTAGGAAAAATAGCCGCCATAGATGATCATAAACGTCGTTGCTTTTATGATGTGCTCTGCCCGCATAGGAGGACGCTGTGTCCGCCACGGCAAGAAGCGCAAGTGGCATTGCAACTTCCAGCGTGGATAGGACGCAAGCATCTTCCGCATAGGTGCAGTTCGGTGGCTCTTATGGCTCGGAGGAACGATTCAGGATAATTGTAGCAGTCGGCGGAATGGTGATGGTCGATGTTCTCGTCAAGAGGGCAGAATTCACAATTGGACGTTGGAGCGATGCGCTCTATCAGCATGTGGATGTCGTCGTGAATATGGGTTATCTTGGAATAGATCTGTTCTAGACGAACGGAGAGACGGTTGACGGTTGGGGTAAGGGACTCCATTGAAGTGCGATGCGCTGGCTCCATCAGCCGAATGTCGCGGTCAATGTCTTCTGCCCTACAGTTGCGACTGTGTCCTCCTTTATTTTTTTTGCACCCAAAAAGCTATGCCAGGTGACGAGCTTCAGTATGCCGAGCGACGCGCGCTTCGTCCATGATCGAGGAGGATGACTCATTGGAAGCTGACCATGAAGCTACAGCAGCTATAGATCAAGGCTAGTGAACACCGATTATCAGGTATTGACTAAGGGTGGGTAATCTAGGGACCAGATTCAGCGTACAACGTGAAAGCTATAACTATACATTCATTTCATTGAAATGTTAGCTAAGTTTTACACGTTCTACTTTTTACATACGTTTTTAACGACCTCACAAGCTGCGAGGAGGAGCGCTGATACTAACTTGGCCGAGAGCTCGAAGCCTATGAACAGTAGTCGTAATGCAAGGAGGATAACAATTGGTCCGAAAAAATATGTCGCCACGCCGAGAAGCACGGTTGTGCCGAATATGGCGAGGGCAGATTTCCAGTGACTTGATGCAATCGCCGCAAGCGGTCCCAAGTCAGGGACGCTGATATCGCGGAACCAACTTGAAGGCGCGATCCACGACGCTCTTTCATGTGAGGCTAGGATTTCAGTTTCATTAAGGTGAGGCATATAAGCTAGGATACCGTGAAGTTCTAGTCTGGTATGATTGTTGTGGCACTCAGCGCGGCAGTCCTGGGCAATGATTGCGCGATGAAAGTCAAGTTTGACTTGTGTTGATTTGTTGGAAGGATCGCATTCGATCGAGGAGTGATCGTCGCAAAGAACGATTACCCATGTCGGTGTTTTCGTGAAGCAAGAGACATGCGTCACGGCGCCTTCCAGACAGCTATAACACCCTGTGAGTGGTCCAAGGAAAACTTCACATGCTTGGAACATTACGTATTCGGCACTTTTTTTTGATGAACTTGGACTCGATGGTGATTGCCATTTCTTCCCTTGCGGAGTGCGCGACGATGAAATTGTTTATGCCTCTCTGCACTCTTATGAAAGGAGTCGAGATTGGAAGTATGTTGGACACGTCTTTTCTCACATGCCCTATAGTGTCAGCTGGACAGTCACATCGAGTTGGCGTGCTCATTACGTTACAGTCGCATATCATTCGGTTCTTGCACAGGTGGAAGCTAGTTGCAGCTTGTGCTCTTGTGAGACACTCCACCGGAAACTTATACCTTCCGGAACAACCAAAATTTCACTGCTGGCTATCGCGAATTGCCTGTGCAAAATAGGGTTTGTCGGCCTTGTGAGCGATATCATGGTGATAGAGATGCCGTCTATCTGCTGCGGTATCTACGGCCTGAGAGCAAGAGTTCGGGAAATGTTAGTGTTGTACAAGGTGAAGTGCACCCGCAATTGTACTATGGGTTTCCATCCCATGCATTCCACAATTTCGTAGACAAGCTTGGATCTAGTAATGTGCGCAACGCGATAAAATGAGCACGATGGTAGAAGTGTCGGGCAACCGCAGAGGATGCCACCGCATGATTCCTCGCATCCCGAGTATCCTGGATATTGGGATGCGTTGGTCAACTCCGGAATTATCGTTGATGGATGAACTCTGGAGCACGTCTGTCCCACACATGATCCCATGAATGCACATCTGCCAACGCTGAAGACCGCGTAGTCAGTGTCTCTCGTGAACATCGGGGTGCGAGGGGAACAATGTAGTTCTACTGCAAGTCAATCCAGCTTTATTCTATTAAACAGAACACGAGGTTCAGTAATACAAATAAATCGGCTGACGTTTCGGCGATTTTCGCCTTCTTCGGAGCCCAAAAAGGTGGAAACCAAATAAATTTGGAACTATGCCGAGGTTCATTGGGAGTCGAACATGGCATCTACTGCAAGTCGTTGGAGAGTGAGCTTGCCTATTGGTTTATTGGCATGTAAAATGGTGACACACATTTGTGTATTGATCTCGTTGAACAAGATTTCCCTGTTGGATTCCTTTGAGCATTTACCGCTGGAATTGCAGATAATCTCAGCGTAGTGCCTCATATGTCCATGTTGGCATGTTGCTGCTTGCCTGCAGAGCATGACTAATGCAAAGGTTACCGCAACGATGATGTCAAGGCGCTGCGGACTAAATGTTTTGAGGTCGATTTTTCGTTAGCACAGCCGCTGCGGCGTTGCGCGCTCATCTTTGTGTTTCTGTCGCGGGGAATTGATCTTTCGATGACTGTGTGACGATTAGCAGTGCTGGCTGTTAAGCCACTTTCACTGTACGCCTGTCGTCGCAGCTGTATGCTTTTCAGCACGAGAAGAGGGACGGACACAATTGCGTACTCAATGGACGCAACGGATACGAGTGCCCTTATAGGCCAGCAATGGGGATTGCCAGTTAGTTGCTTCGAAAACATGTTCATGGGAGTGCTACAAATATGTGGAAGGGAACAAGTGATGTGAAACTCCTTCAGTGACGTTTGTTCTGTGTATCTCATAGTGACAGATATGCTGTTGTTCGCAGTTGTCGATGGCAGTTGGAGAGAGAAATCAGACGGCATTGCTGGGAAACGTTTGCAGGTGGTTTGTATGCAAATCTCAAACGTGCCTTCAGGGGGAAATACCCTGATCATTCCGTCCTTGCACAGAAGTGGCGAATAGGCGTCTACACAGGAGCTCAGGAGCAGGATCATGAGGAGTGAAATGTGTGGTGCGGGTATGACTGACGGTAGCAACTGAGTCTTGGTTTATTGCTGGTACTCAATGATCTTATCGCATCTTGTATTACTTTCTTTGCCTTGAGTTTGGCCTGTTGTGAAGGGCGGTGTTCCGTCGGATTGTTTTCGCATGTTTGTTGTTCAGGGGGTCTACTGTTGTCTTTTGGTGACTCCTGAACTTCGCTTCGGCTTCTTGAGTGGCCTGTGCTATACATGTCCATTAGGCAGCAATATTTAAGTGATCGTACTTGTTCGTCCGTGCTTTTCCAAGTTCGACTATTTTCCCGTAGCACCAACAACCACGTGGAATATTTTGTTGTTCTATCAGGACGATTTCCCCAACTGTTGGCTCTCTTGATCGTGCAAGCCGACGTTGCTTCGTTGCTTCAGTCGCGAGCGCTGGACCTCGCGTAATGCTGTCAGGTATTCCATGTGCCTTCGTTCCCAGAACTTTTGAGCTATCTGTTCGCTGCTTTCGAGAGCCTGTTTAGCTTGGGTGACTGACTGTATTAGTTGCGGATCGAAAGTGGGATCGTCGATTTCTTCGTGGTCAGAAGCCGGAAGTGCATATTTTAGCGATTTCTGTAAGAAGTCAACTGGCCACAGGGGTATGTCCTCAACGTTGGCTGAACAAGCTGTGAGTGGCCGTGTATGGCTTCGATTTCTATTATGATCGTGAGGAACTCTGTGTAATTCAGCTTCCTTCTTCCCACTGATTTATTGAAAGCGCGCTTGACCGTGCCAACCAGGCGTTCCTAAGCGCCACCTATCCACGGTGCTTCAGGGGGGGGGTTGAATATCCATTGTACTCTATGTGTAGCGCAATATGACATTACGCAGGTTTCGCTAGCATCGCCTGTGTCAGGATTCGAACCAAACATGGTTTCTATTACGCGTTGCCCAAGTGTAAAGTTGGAGCCGCAGTCGCTACGGATTAGTCTGGGAATGCCACGTCGAGATATGAAGCGTTTGAATGAATGAAGAAACGCTACTGCTGACATGTCTTCCACCACTTCGAGGTGAACAGCTCTGGTTGTGAGGCATGTGTAAAGGCAGATGTAGCACTTATTGTACTATTTGATCTGATATGGTCCCATGAAGTCGCATCTGATTTTATCGAAAGGTTTCGTCCAAATGACTATCTTTGGTATTGATGGCATTTCCGGGACGCCGAACGGAGGCCCTTGCCATTTTTCACATGTAACGCATTGTTTTGCCATTTTTTGAAGGCACCTGACGGTCGTGGTATCCAAAACCGTGCTCTCGCAATACACAACGTGTGGTCTTTGCCACTATGTGCGTTTTCGTGATGGATATCACTGAGAATGAGTCTCGTTAGGTCGGAGTCCTTGTCGACATAGATAGGATTTTTGGTGTCCTCGGGGAAGACCGAGTCCTGCAACCGGGACTGATGCCGTATGATGCCTGCGTTGTCGCGAAAGACTTGTTTCTGAGCGAACCTTTTGCGAAGGTCCTCTACGGAAATTGATTTGTGTAGGTCTGCAAGCAGTATGATTCGCTCATGGAAAACTCGTCAGCGGGTATGTTCCAAGATCCGTATGGCCTTATCTAGGCGAGAGAAGCGAGCAAGTGAGAGGAGACCCTAGGCTGCTGGTGAATCGGGTGGAGATGTTCTTGCGATGTGCAAGCTTGTCGTATTTATATCCGCCGCATCATCATCCTGTGCCTCGAGGGTGTCACTCGCGGTTGTGATTTTTAATACCAAGGGGAGGGTATTTGTGCTTCACGAAGCCAGTTTGGCCCAAGAATCCATGGAAGCTTGTGGATGTGTTCTGAGTCCGTTCCACGCGTTCCAGCGTCGGCAGGGTTTTTGTCTGTTGGAACATGCCAGAAATTTATTGACGTTCCTTGGGTCTCTACAGCCTGTTTCACCTTCATAATACGGTACCTCTGGTTTTCCACAAAGACCGTAAAGTTGCCTTTACTTGTTACCCAAGATAAGGCTATCTCACTATCGCTTAGGATATTGATGTGGGCAACTGGCTTTTTGCTGGCTGCGACAATTGCCTTTCCGAGACGCACTGCCATGAGTATGGCGAACAGTTCAAGCGGTATGTTCGTTTCGGAAATAGGCACACACTGCTAATGCTTGAGTGCTGGCGTCTGAGAATACCCAGATTGTGAATGAGTCAATGTTATCTTCGAAAGAGAAGCGAGGGACTGATAAAGAAATGCTGTTCAATTTAGAACCGGTGTCTTTCCAGATATCAGCCAGGTCTTTCGAGACTGGCTCTTTCCACTCGATAGTGCGGTCGTGTATCTTTCTCATTATGTGTTTCAGGTGGATTGTTAGAGGTGCTGCTACTCCTAGCGGGTCATATATGGAATTCAGTTGACTGAGAACGTCACTTTTCGTCAAATTTTTGTTGTCAGGGAATTTGAGCTCAAGCGTGAATTCGTCCGATTCGGTATTATAGGTTACTCTCAGTAATTTTATGGTCCCGCTAGGGGCTCCATATACGGGAATGGCACTATTGACTTCGTTTGAATTAGATACGTACTCTCTGGGGTTCATTCCGATTTCTGCAGGCAATGCTTTGCTTTCGTGGTACTTTTTGAGAGCTTCTGATGGAGTATCCGCCGAGAGGAGTATGTTGTCGACATAGAGTTTTTCGTCGATATCTTTGGCTAGGTCGTTATCTTTGCATTGCAAGAATGAAAGAAGGCACCTATTCAGAATACTGGGCGAGGGCTTCGCTCCGAAAGGGATTCTCTTGAATCAGTATTTTATGATGTTGTCTTGAGTAGCGGACTTGCTAGCATCTTTGAGCCAAAGAAACCTGCAAAGGTCTCTATGACTTTCTTCCAGTCTTATTTGAGTGAGGGCTGCTTCGATATCACACACCAATATGATCTTGCATGTTCTACTTGCTATGAGGACGTCACGAATATTATTCACGAGTGATTCTCCTTTATAGGTGTTGTCGTTGAGGGAGAGTTGTCCTTTGCGTTTCGAGGAGGCGACAAATACAACACGCAATGCTTTTTGCTTGTGAGGTTTCCACACGCCTGAGTGGGGAATATAGTACACCCCAACGGAGCCAGGAGCCTTATCTTCCACTCGTTCGATGACGTCGTCATCTTCATACTGTTTGAGTGTTTTGCTATACCACTCCTTTTGAGTAGTGCTTTCTTCTAGATGAATGTAAAGATTCATCAACCGCTGTGAGGCTGTACTGTAGTTGTCTGCCAGATTTTGCACAGTGCTTTTCAACGGAATTGGAGCTGTGACGTGACCAGACGTGACCAGAGTACGAATGAAACTTGATCAGAGTATTTTTTGAAGTTTCAAGGAAGTTGTTGTTCCCTGTGCATTCATCGGAGGTGATTCCCAGACCCTCAAGTTCGAAAAGTTTACTGAGCAGTTCTCTTTCCGTCTCTTCGATCGCTGTCATATTGTAGGAAAGGGAAGAAGTTGTGAGGGTGCCACCGCTTATATCAGTTAATCCACGCCCATACAGTGTAGGGCCGAAAAATGTATTAGCTATTCGCAAGCCTGAAGGAGTCGTGAGATGCTCGCCGCTGTCGAGGACGAAACTGTAGTAGTGGTCTAGACCTACCAAGATGTTGGGTATGTGGTGCTCCCCTCTTACATTTGGATTACAGACGAGGAGGTTCCGTTTTTCGAGAAACTGCTGATCGACGGGGCCTATTTTGACCGCAGGGAAACCATTTGTCAGTATAGGTTTTGTTTGTATCAGTATTTCCAAATCTCATCCGTAGGCCGCGCCGATCTTTACGTGCACGATGTTACTTCGGAATGTCTCAGTTGTTCCTCCTATACCAGACATGATGCATGTCTCTGTTTTCAGTGTAGGCAGCTTTAAGCGACATGCGAGATCTTCCTGAATTACCGTCTTCTGAGTGCCAGTGTCAAAGAAAAAATGACTTTCTCAAAGCTCTGCGTACCGTGGTTCCAGATGGATCCCTCGGCTGTCATTAGAGCTATTTGCTCATTTTTCGGCGACAAGGCGTTGCAATCTATGTTGGTGTGATGTTCGGTCGTTCCTTCCCCATACCGGAGTTGGTCAAATTCAGCAACGTCTTCTGGATATGTCTTCCCACTCAATGTGTATGTTGGCAGTGTGCTTTTGGCGCGGTTGTGGATCCGTGTCGGGATACGGCTTCCCTGGCGTAGTGCTCATTCGCTTGGCGAAAACTCTTTGGCCGCGCTGTTCTTCTTCACTGACCGAAGGTGTGTTGTGCTCTGAGTTACTATGCTCGGCTGCGTTTTCGGTCGTGAAACACAGCTTGATATGATGCATCCTTCCACATAGGCGGCAATTATTTCTTGAGCACTGTGCACTTGTGTGTTTTGGCGAGTAGCATTTCCAGCAGAGGCGCTTTAGAGCCACGATTTCTCTGTTCATGCTTACGGGCAGCTTGGATTGGCACTGCCATGTGAAATGACCACTAGTTTCGCAAATTGCGCAGAGTTTTGTTGTGTTATTTGTGCGATTCGCACTCTCTCGGTTCGCTTGATCATAGGGTCGGAGTCTTGACTGAACGTACGCCGGATATCTCGCCGCTGATGAAGTCCAAAATGGAATCCACTGTGAGATCATCGTGCTCTCGCATTTTAAGGAGTACCGGCTCTACAATATCTTTGGGGAATTTGTTTAGGATTGCCTCTGTCCATAAGGCAACTTTGCAAGCTCGTATATTCTGTCCTGTAGAGAACATCTGATTTAAAAGCGTGCATATGTCGTTAAACACCTTCTGCACAGCTTTCCGCTGTTCTAGAGGCTCTTGGCAACTCATTCAGTCGTTGTACTATGCGGGCCCTGTTGGCGGGCTTATTGCCATATTTCTTGTGTAGCGTTTTGATCATCCACTCGTAGTTCTGAGGGATCGACTGTATACCTCGAATTGACTTGTCCGATTTGCCCTGGAGGTTTTCTTTCAGCGAGAACATTTTTTCGGTTGTGCTGAGTGTCGGGTTGTTGTGCACAAGTTGTTCATAGACAGCCCAGAACTCTGGGAACTCTTTTTCCTTCCCAGTAAAGACTGGCACACTCACTCTAGGTGGTGCGATTGAGGGAGCAGTGAAAGGAGGCTGTCTGGATACTTCGTTTTCGCTATCCCAACCTGGAGGCCCTCCGTGGATGTCATTCGTGGGCCGCGCCGTATGTGGACCTGTTTTTCCGTAGGCCATCACAACACTTGTATAGTTGAAATGAAGAGACCTCTTTATACCCCTGTGTGAGGCCTGGAAGCTCCTCCACTGATAGTGCTCCACACATCAAATTCTAACGACTTGTAGAGGTTATCGCTGGTCCTGGTCACGACCATGATCAGTCAGGCACTTGCTTTGGCCCTGGTGCAATATGGAGCCAATCTGGAGGTGGCAGCATAAAATGCAAAAACGGCAAAGCCTCGGGGATCCGAACCATCAACCCGCCCAGTCGTCCGTATTCGAAGTCGTATCGCTATCCCCCACACCATCCGTCGCTGCCAGCAGCTCAACCATGGAGAGCACATATGAAACTACCTCGCACTTTTCAACATGTGGCCTTTTTTTGGCTACTGTTCACGTTATTTCCAATGCGCAGTCCACTGGCGCCTTCTACTGTGTGGACAGCCGATGCCATGAATTAAACAAACGACGCTTAGTGGGTTAAAACGGCAACTTCTGACAAAATCATTTCCACCCTTTTTTTGCCCTTCAGAAGGCCATTAAGCGGAAATGGAACATAGTTCTATACTCAGCGCTCATGCCCCTATACCATGCAAAAAACCATTTTTAAAAAGCGTCCCACGCCCTGAAAGACCTTTCTTGTCAGTGCACTCATACCAAGGCCACCAGCGACAGACACCCGTAATGAAAATTATTTCGAGCGTTTCTCCCCCATCTCTGTTGATACTAAACAATGATACTATGTTGGCGCGAAAAACCATCGTTGGTCACTAACTTCGATTTTGAGTTTATTTTGATGATTTTTTGGATGTTACCGGGTGCTGCTTTTATCATGTGTTATCGTGCACAAAGACGCAGGAAACTATATTACATGCTCTGTGATTTTAGGTTGTATATTAGTGGAGATGCACACAGGAGAGCCACTTTTTGCTGGGTCATCGGAGTTGGATCAAATGATGAAGATTGTCGAAGTGCTAGGAATGCCACCGAAGGAGCTATTAGACATTGGCCCGAAGACCCATAAGTACTTTGGAAAAACTGAAGGTTTCACTTTTAAAATGCATTTCGTTATGTACTATCCGCTCGTTGATATGTTGTTCTTGTATAGACGGAGTCTATTACTGTAAGACTACCCGTGACTGCTTTAACAAGTGTTATCGTGGACCAGGACACAGGAAACTACATGACATTCTTGGTGTCACCTCTGGTGGCCCGAGCGGACGTCGCGCAGGGGAATCTGGTCATTCTGTCGAGGAGTACAGCAAATTTAAGGTTTGTTCCTATGCAGGTCACAGCTACCATCTTCGTCACATTGTCCGATTACCTTACATTTTTCCTTGATAGTTCTCCTTTTTCAAAACGAATTTCCAGTGAACTAGGATGACTCTATGTATGTCCATGTGCGACTGTCGATGAATCTCGGCATTCTTCCTTTAGTTTGAAATTGACTCTTTAAGCTGTACAACCGAGATATTAACAAACTTTATTAGGCTGACGTTTCGGTGCCTTCACCTTCCTCGGAGCCTGGAAAGACAAAAGGCATTTGAGAAACCATCCGATCAAGCACTATTTCAACCTACAAAGAAAGTTCAAAGGGCGCGGACTACTAGGAAGTCGAAAGATGGTAACTAACCTTTGGGACAGTCGACCTTTGGGGTCCACCGATCACCCTAAGCTGGTGTGGCTGCGGTTTAAATAGGGTGAGCCTCGGGTCAACTTGCTTCAGGGGCCTCCAAGAGGCTGATCACGTAGATCAAGCTCCCTNTTTGAAATTGACTCTTTAAGCTGTACAACCGAGATATTAACAAACTTTATTAGGCTGACGTTTCGGTGCCTTCACCTTCCTCGGAGCCTGGAAAGACAAAAGGCATTTGAGAAACCATCCGATCAAGCACTATTTCAACCTACAAAGAAAGTTCAAAGGGCGCGGACTACTAGGAAGTCGAAAGATGGTAACTAACCTTTGGGACAGTCGACCTTTGGGGTCCACCGATCACCCTAAGCTGGTGTGGCTGCGGTTTAAATAGGGTGAGCCTCGGGTCAACTTGCTTCAGGGGCCTCCAAGAGGCTGATCACGTAGATCAAGCTCCCTCAAAAGCCACGCAAGGTCGAGCGCGCCGCTGATCCCTTCCCAATCAACTCCTATCGATTACTGTATAAGCCCCCGACCCCGCCCCGCCGAGAGGAGTAGGTCAAAACCCACACAGTGCTGCAAAGGGCGCCAGCTCCGTGGTAACCGCCACGCACTCTTCCCTCCGGTTAACTCTATGTATGCTTTCTGCTTTTCCTCCGCAGACAGGTTGTGCGATTGTGACATCTGCAGTTATTCGTACCTTATGTGCATTTTTCTCCTTCACTGTGTTCGACATTAGCGCCCGTACACTTTAGAATAGTAAAAAGGAATGAACTCCCAGAAGGAACATCATATATATTTCCAGTTGATTTTAAGTTCAAGCTCTTTGGGATATTTGGAACATAATTAGATTGTAGGTTAATAATGGTAAATATTCGCAATACACCCATGCTGCACATCTCAAGATTTTGTATGATTAGATCCAGTAGGAAAGAAGTTACGACTGAAAAGTGCGACTGAAAAAGCGCTCGGCCGAAGACAATTGAGCGCTACTGTATATCAGAGTTCACGGCACCTACTAATAGGCTACCGGAGGAACAGAGACTAGCAGAGTGAAATAACCTGCAGCCCATTTCTTCGCCGTGTACCTACTAGTGGTCGATACACCTTTTTAGGAACTCCTGTGGGCGAGGCCGAACTTCTAGCCCTCTATACCATGCAGGGGAATCATGATGACTGCGCGCGTAAACGCTCATAACAATTTTTCTGAGTTCGAACATTTTCGTTTTCTTGCTTATCAAGGTGAATCACATAATCTCCTTCCTAAGGTACTGAACGCTCGGTAGATTTTGAAAATGATGGAAGAGTCCTCACATCGAGAATAAATCATTATTTGCATGAACACTTTTCAGACCATTCAATGTATCGAGGTAGCTGGTATCATCAAACCATCAAACCATCAAACCACTCTCCATAACCATCAAACTCTCTGAAGAGTAAGGAATAGCTGCAGATCGGGAGGATAGAGATAGGAGGCTTACGGTTTTATTCATTGGGGAGGTTAAAGAAACAGATCGAAGATCTGCTGTGCAATGGAGATAACTATGCCCGGAAGTTGGTCAAAGTAATGGAAATTTCATGAAGTTTTTCGAAGAAAGGTCACCTAGACAACTCACCTAGACAGCGAAGCCTTCATGAAACGAGAAGTCATTCCTTGAGCGGGCAAGCTAAAGAAAAGAAAATGAGGCTCACATGCCATTCCGATTAAAGAAATCGTCCTGTTGAATTTCTGTACACCTACGAAAGGATATTCATGATTAAAAGGTCTTGATCAGAAGGGCGAGCTTCAATGAAAGACTGCGAAGACAAAAGAAAATGAAGTGATGCAGCGCAAGGCTCACTAACTTTCTCTGATGGTCCTCGAAGACATCACCGTCGAGTCGGAAACACGTCTTGCAGTGCACAGCAGGACACTTTGGCGATCCAAAGAGGACAGACTGTCAAGATAGAGATCCTGACCAAAGATTAGAGATTGTCCAGGAACTCAGGAAGAAGCTCTCCGACTTCACAGCCTTCGAGTAGTAGCCTACGAGGGGCCTCGACCTAAATTTTATGGAGTCCTCATTGTGGTCAACTCAGAATTCGAGCATACGCTAGACTACACAAGAACTGCAATGGTCTCGAGAAGGCGTTCTGAAAAACACGGGATCAATTCGTTGATCCTGACTGCGTGCCACCTCGCCGCACTCTCTCTTCGTTCCTGGGAATGATTGGAAGCAGTAGGCAACAAATCCCAGTTTCAACCTTCTCTTGTAATAGGAGATCACATAGTATGCAAAATTCGATGAGGGTTTGTTTTTATTCTGATATTGGTCTTCGGCGATGCAATATTTGTGTCATCATAATTTCGGCAAGCCGCGTATGTTACAGGACTCCATAACTGAGCTCTTCCAACTACGTCATTCCTGCTTTAAGTGGCGTGAGTGAGATACTCGTATTTTCATCTTATGGAATCTGAGCATCGTGTTCTCTTCCGACCGGACCCATTTCGATCGTTTTGATTAAGATCCCACGTATTGCCATAGGCTCTTGAGAATGCGGGGCGCCGGCCTCAGAGTGATGACCGCATTATCGGTTTTATTCTTTGGTGAAAATGTAGTTGGGGGGGGGGCACCCATCCAAAGGTCAGTATATCAAGAAATGAACTCAGTCTGACGTGTTATTCCTTGTTATATTAGCCCTGTATCGGATGCGTTGAGGATGATGGGAATCGACCAGCTTAGCTCTTTTATGCGGGTTCCGCTAAGGACATTTAGTTTACCAAATAAGTCTAGGTAGGGTAGGAGCACCTGGGTGGCTAGGATGATTACCTCCTGCAAAAAAAAAGAAAAAAAAGAAAGAGAACTTGCCCACCGCGGTGCTCCTTCCCTACGAGAGCCCTTATTTAAAAACAAGCATGTCCGTGATATAACACGACATAACGCGTTTCATTGAGTTCATTTCTTGATATGCCGACATTGTGATAGGTGGCCCCCCCCCCAACTACATTTTCACCTATTCTTTTTAGGGTGTGATTTTCAGATGATTCCCTGTAAAAGTGCGACATTGCTAGAACGACATAATCACCTGTTTTGAATGGTGTTGACTTCAACAAGGTCGAGTGCTGTGTCATGTTAGCCATCCAGGAGCGCTTGTCCGCGCGTATAGAGCCGCAGGAAATCCTGTTTCTACTATTTCTGGTGGGAGCAGCGCGGCGGATGGCACCATATCCCATGTTTCAAAGACTGTCATTGAAGCAACTTCTCCTCAAATAGCTCCCGTAGCATATCTAAGAATATCTCCAATTGACTCTTATTCTGTGGTTTAGCAAGTATGATCAGTCCAGGACCCTTGACAGCGAATTTATCAGAGAAGACTTGACGCCATCTCGCTATACTACCGAAATTCACTAGGAAGGACAGCAATCAACGTTGAATCCCCTTGCTCCCCTAAGGGCTCTCTTCGTCTTCAACCCAACAGCGTTGTGTTAATATACGTATAGGCTTAAAGGAAAGATTTGAACTCGTCAAACCCTCAAATGCAGGCAAAACGCACTTATCATCCTTGAGAGCGTTCCTGATACGATCACGGCGGGTAGTAAACAGCTGTGTACGGAAAACTGTAACCTTCCTACCTTGTAAAAATCCATAATATCAATCATCATATCATCTCTTTATCTCTCGGCAGGCACCTACACATCGAGTTTAAATAGATCCTAACAGAGTGGGTCAGAGTTGCGGCGTGAGAGTTGTTGCGATGGTAGCGTATTGGGAGCCAAAGCAGGATGAATCGTTCTTCCGCGGAACGATCGTCTCCTCGATACCTTCTTTCTTTGATCGATTCTACACTGTTTCTATAATCTTGTGTACATAGCCCTGTAAGAAAGCGAAGTAAGAGTTTAGCTTTATCTCCTGTTAAGAGAGGCTTCCATGGTGATGTCCCTCTTTTTTTGAAAGGATGTTCCTCTAGAGATTTTTGACGTATTCCTCTCTAAGGACTCACTCGCTGAAAGTAGTGGGTTCTCTAGTAAAAAAAAAGTATGGGACGATATTATAGAAGGGCAAAATATAATTTGTCGGTTTTCAGAGGGTCAGAGGGTTTTCTGGGGAGGATAGGCACGTCGCATAATCACTGTGGAGAAGATTTCTATTCGAGTATTTTACTGCTGGAAGAAGCTGGGTCTTTGGCGTGGGTGACAATCGATCTCGTGTTCAAAGTCCTATATAATCAGAGGTAGACAGAAGTATTGAGATTCCTTTCGTAGTCGAGAGCGTTAAGAGTAGCAATAGAGGATACTTCGCCTAAATCTTTTGGAACTGTCTGCCGTCAAGGATCTATTAATAGGAGGAAATAGGGTTTGTATTGTGCAAAACAACCAGTCTCCTGTCTATAAATTATATATTAGTTTTCGGCAATGGACCCGCCTAAATCTTTTGGAAACTGTCTGCCGTCAAGGATCTACCAATAGGAGGAAATAGGTTTTGTATTGTGCAAAACAACCAGTCTCCTGTTTATATAAATTCGGCAGTGGACTACGCACGGCATACTATGTAAGAAGCTGCAGCACTCTTCATCATATTTATTAGTCACACAGGTAATCAGCCTGAACAGAGTGAATCTTGTTGCAGAGTGTGCCTTATCGGCGGGAGTGTGCTATAATCCAAGGTAGGACGGAGGCCGGGGCTTGCGCTCAGCAGTCGGCAATGCGTCGAGCTCGTTCTGGTGTCAGGAGCGCGCAATTTTTCCTCCGTCATGATAAGGCTCATGATGCCTTTAACGCCTAATCGTGCTGCTCGAGTGTAAACTCGAGATGACGTCTCCGTTGTAAACATGTATAGTCACTGGGAATCGTCCAAGCATGGCCATCCCAGGCTCTCCTATTTAATCGTTCAAGCATGGCCTCTTCTATTTGTCATGCAGTCTCCTACCATAATCACTTTGCTCTTTGATCACACGTCTGAAATATGTTCTACGGCGCTGTAGTGATAGATTTAATGAATGAAAAATCTCACTCATGAGATGGTTGCAACTATCCTTACCGTAGTTTCTGAGTTTCGGTTCTCTTCGATGCGAAACTGTTTCGCCTGCTCGTTAGTGAGGTTAGTGTTGGCGAGCATAGAAGGAGTAGGTGTTCAATAAGTTCGCATTTCGAACTTCGCTGTATTTCGTTATTCGCCCAGCTTTTCTGTGGGTGGATGAGTCGGGGTGGGTGACCAAAAAAGCTTTTAGAATGCAGTGCAGATTCACTGAAGTGATTGGGGCTCTTTCCTTCGACTCGGAGCTGGAAAGGAAACAAAATTGAGCAGACGGTGATATTCCTTCCGTTGTAACAGAGCCTATGTGGATTTGCCGCGACGTTTGTAATTGATATGACAAGAACTTGTGGAGCGGTAGAAGCTCAGCAGTGTAATAGCTGTCCATCTGTTGCTTCCACAGTTCCATGAGCTGCCTGGACGAAGCTAAATTGGAGAGATACCGGGGAAGGGCCCATTACCTAGTGTGTGGGCTTACCGTCCATTCCGGAGCTCTGCGCCGAGAAAACAGCACTGGCTACCTCGACCAAATTTCTCACGTTACGTCTTTTTGTGTTGGAGAGATAGGAATAGAATTAAAAGTAGTAGCGTAGTTCAAGAAATTCTGTTTTTGTCAGAGATCCAAAAGTTTGGATCTAGGAAATTTAGACGTTCGCTGCCCGCCAAACAAGATTTTTGGAGTAATGGAGTCCCTTCATCGGGGTACGCCGGGAGGCACTGATGATCTGCAGATATGGGTAGGGGGATGCGTCCATTGCGATAAACGCCTGCGATAAGGCATTTGCGCGTGCAGCTGCTCGTAGGGGGTCATTTTGTTCGACTCGATTCAAAGATATTTTTGCCGAATCTGGGCAGCATCTCGACATTCCTAAAACGCGACTATAGTATGGTTGAAGGTGGTGGAGGTGGTGGAATCTCCGCGAGGTACATCGGTGGCGAATCTCAGAACATGGCAATAGATTTACGTTGTGTCGAGGATAAAGGCCTGAAGAAGTAAGGCGTTGAAGATGTCACGACGGAAGGTCTCGGCCGAGCCTTACGAGGGAAACTTGTTTCAATTGGTGCTGTTTATAGTTTAGGCGTAAGCTTAGGGGAAAAATCCAATCAAAAAGTTCCTAGTCATCTGCAATCAAAAAGTTCCCAGTCATCTGCGACGGTTGTCCTTCACGTGAGGATAACCATGAACGGGGGTGGACTTGTTAGCAATAATATGCTAGCAAATCGTCTCCGGAAGAGTGACCTCGCGAACGTTGTCGTGATTTAATTATCTTGTGGAATTGAGCTCTTGCTTGGAGGGTAGGAATATGAATAGTAATGGAATGTTTGGTGATATTTGCTACAGGGAGTTGCGGTATAATATACTCCATGGGTGCACTCAACGGATTGTCTGCCGATGTGTTTTTCCATTCCGGGGAAAGTGCTGGGTTCCCGAGGCATTGCCCAAGCGAGTATGCTTGGAAGAAATCGAGGGATGAAGAAGAGGTAGATTAATGAACATCCGTGTTAGCGCTTGAGAGCGCGTGTTGTTTCTGGCGGAGGGGGTCCTGCGTGGATTACATTGTCTAAGCTGCAAGTGCATGGAAAGGCAATATAGATCTGTGGTGGGGTTTGCTGTTCGGTGTCGGTCAATAAGTGCTGTAAGTCGGTTAGGCAGAAGCATAGGGAGTGAATTTGATGGAGGCACAAACGATGTCGATGAAGCGCAGCCGTGATCGGTGGCGTCGACAGTAAGACGGCTACAGACTCGTTAAATGAACAGAGAAACCAATGTGACCGTTTGGTGGTGTAGACTTCTGAGTTGACATGGACACTGAGACGGAATCCGTGAATAAAAAGAAAATCTAACGAGATGGGTGTACGTTAGGACAGCCTCTTTGCAAATCCGTCTGTTAGGGTGAATGGGCTCCCAGTACATCGCGAATGAGTCAGAACCCATTCATAAACGAATATGAGCGAGTAAAGGTCAAAGAGAGAGCACGGAGTCCCTGAATACACCAAAGCTGAAAGAGCTAGGGAAGAAAACGTTGAATAGGGAAGTTGAATGAGACGCCCTCAAACGGTGAGGCGTTCTATCAGTAGCTTTACTAGTGTGCTTCCAGCTAGCGACCGGTGCTGGCAACGCTCGCTTGCGTCAGCCTCTTCAATTATTCCTCTGCATGCCATGGGGGCATGGAAAACTAGTACGGATGCTTCGGAACTTTCAAACTCTGCTTACTGGAAATGCATTGTGCCAGGTTTCGAATGACTCGCGAACATATTAATGATGATTAGGTGAGTGTACCTAACCTTCACAACCCTAGGCTAACTACGGATCACATAGGTTGGGTGCATAGACCTACACACACGATCTCTCAACTCAAAATAGGAACGAGGTAGTTTGGCTGCAATCGTGTCCTTGTTTCACCACGATACTATGTGCTGGTGCTTGGCTGCCTGACTCCGAGTGTAGGAGGTAACTGAGCTCATAGGCGCCACCGTCGTCGTCAGATGGGACGCGGATTCCCGTTTCATATTGGATCAT